TTCGACTTGTTGTCATACCATAAAGCTCCCAAAATATAAGAACTTTCAGTTGCATAATTTCAGACATTTGGCTCAAGTGTTTCCAAGTGGCTAGATCGCGGGCTTCGGAAATGAATTCTCTGACTTCAACACAGAGACAAGGGCCCACATTACATCAAACAAAACAACACATTGTCCTGCCCCCAGATCTGAAAAGAGGACAGTGATCCAACTTTTCAGACCTGAGTTCAAAGGGGGTAAACTCTACAAGTACTTAACTTTTAAATCGACGAAAGCTGCCCGGCGTCTTCTTCTGCACCAGAGACCCTCATCTTCTTCTTCGTGGACCTGCACAGGACACACGGACAAAAAGACAAAAAAGAATACTGCCAAATGCAGCAAGAACCATGTTAATGCCAGTCACAAATGTACATCTTTCAAAATTCCACATGAATAAACACATACACATACAAAGAAAGACTTCATTTCCAGCCAGACGCGATGCTATTTTGTTACTCTTTTCATGCTGCGCGCACTCAATTTCGACTTGTTGTCATACAATAAAGCTCCCAAATATAAGAACTTTCAGTTGCATAATTTCAGACATTTGGCTCAAGTGTTCCAAGTGGCTAGATCGCGGGCTTCGGAAATGAATTCTCTGACTTCAACACAGAGACAAGGGCCCACATTACATCAAACAAAACAACACGATTGTCCTGCCCCCAGATCTGAAAAGAGGACAGTGATCCAACTTTTCAGACCTGAGTTCAAGAGGGGGTAAACTCTACAAGTACTTAACTTTTAAATCGACGAAAGCTGCCCGGCGTCTTCTTCTGCACCAGAGACCCTCATCTTCTTCTTCGTGGACCTGCACAGGACACACGGACAAAAAGACAAAAAAGATACTGCAAAATGCAGCAAGAACCATGTTAATGCCAGTCACAAATGTACATCTTTCAAAATTCCACATGAATAACACATACACATACAAAGAAAGACTTCATTTCCAGCCAGACGCGATGCTATTTTGTTACTCTTTTCATGCTGCGCGCACTCAATTTCGACTTGTTGTCATACAATAAAGCTCCCAAAATATAAGAACTTTCAGTTGCATAATTTCAGACATTTGGCTCAAGTGTTCCAAGTGGCTAGATCGCGGGCTTCGGAAATGAATTCTCTGACTTCAACACAGAGACAAGGGCCCACATTACATCAAACAAAACAACACGATTGTCCTGCCCCCAGATCTGAAAAGAGGACAGTGATCCAACTTTTCAGACCTGAGTTCAAGAGGGGGTAAACTCTACAAGTACTTAACTTTTAAATCGACGAAAGCTGCCCGGCGTCTTCTTCTGCACCAGAGACCCTCATCTTCTTCTTCGTGGACCTGCACAGGACACACGGACAAAAAGACAAAAAGAACTGCCAAAATGCAGCAAGAACCATGTTAATGCCAGTCACAAATGTACATCTTTCAAAATTCCACATGAATAACACATACACATACAAAGAAAGACTTCATTTCCAGCCAGACGCGATGCTATTTTGTTACTCTTTTCATGCTGCGCGCACTCAATTTCGACTTGTTGTCATACAATAAAGCTCCCAAAATATAAGAACTTTCAGTTGCATAATTTCAGACATTTGGCTCAAGTGTTCCAGTGGCTAGATCGCGGGCTTCGGAAATGAATTCTCTGACTTCAACACAGAGACAAGGGCCCACATTACATCAAACAAAACAACACGATTGTCCTGCCCCCAGATCTGAAAAGAGGACAGTGATCCAACTTTTCAGACCTGAGTTCAAGAGGGGGTAAACTTACAAGTACTTAACTTTTAAATCGACGAAAGCTGCCCGGCGTCTTCTTCTGCACCAGAGACCCTCATCTTCTTCTTCGTGGACCTGCACAGGACACACGGACAAAAAGACAAAAAAGATACTGCCAAAATGCAGCAAGAACCAATGTTAATGCCAGTCACAAATGTACATCTTTCAAAATTCCACATGAATAACACATACACATACAAAGAAAGACTTCATTTCCAGCCAGACGCGATGCTATTTTGTTACTCTTTTCATGCTGCGCGCACACTTCAATTTCGACTTGTTGTCATACAATAAAGCTCCCAAAATATAAGAACTTTCAGTTGCATAATTTCAGACATTTGGCTCAAGTGTTCCAAGTGGCTAGATCGCGGGCTTCGGAAATGAATTCTCTGACTTCAACACAGAGACAAGGGCCCACATTACATCAAACAAAACAACACGATTGTCCTGCCCCCAGATCTGAAAAGAGACAGTGATCCAACTTTTCAGACCTGAGTTCAAGAGGGGTAAAACTCTACAAGTACTTAACTTTTAAATCGACGAAAGCTGCCCGGCGTCTTCTTCTGCACCAGAGACCCTCATCTTCTTCTTCTTCGTGGACCTGCACAGGACACACGGACAAAAAGACAAAAAAGATACTGCCAAAATGCAGCAAGAACCATGTTAATGCCAGTCACAAATGTACATCTTTCAAAATTCCACATGAATAACACATACACATACAAAGAAAGACTTCATTTCCAGCCAGACGCGATGCTATTTTGTTACTCTTTTCATGCTGCGCGCACTCAATTTCGACTTGTTGTCATACAATAAAGCTCCCAAAATATAAGAACTTTCAGTTGCATAATTTCAGACATTTGGCTCAAGTGTTCCAAGTGGCTAGATCGCGGGCTTCGGAAATGAATTCTCTGACTTCAACACAGAGACAAGGGCCCACATTACATCAAACAAAACAACACGGTTGTCCTGCCCCCAGATCTGAAAAGAGGACAGTGATCCAACTTTTCAGACCTGAGTTCAAGAGGGGGTAAACTCTACAAGTACTTAACTTTTAAATCGACGAAAGCTGCCCGGCGTCTTCTTCTGCACCAGAGACCCTCATCTTCTTCTTCGTGGACCTGCACAGGACACACGGACAAAAAGACAAAAAAGATACTGCCAAAATGCAGCAAAACATGTTAATGCCAGTCACAAATGTACATCTTTCAAAATTCCACATGAATAACACATACACATACAAAGAAAGACTTCATTTCCAGCCAGACGCGATGCTATTTTGTTACTCTTTTCATGCTGCGCGCACTCAATTTCGACTTGTTGTCATACAATAAAGCTCCCAAAATATAAGAACTTTCAGTTGCATAATTTCAGACATTTGGCTCAAGTGTTCCAAGTGGCTAGATCGCGGGCTTCGAAATGAATTCTCTGACTTCAACACAGAGACAAGGGCCCACATTACATCAAACAAAACAACACGATTGTCCTGCCCCCAGATCTGAAAAGAGGACAGTGATCCAACTTTTCAGACCTGAGTTCAAGAGGGGGTAACTCTACAAGTACTTAACTTTTAAATCGACGAAAGCTGCCCGGCGTCTTCTTCTGCACCAGAGACCCTCATCTTCTTCTTCGTGGACCTGCACAGGACACACGGACAAAAAGACAAAAAAGATACTGCCAAAATGCAGCAAGAACCATGTTAATGCCAGTCACAAATGTACATCTTTCAAAATTCCACATGAATAACACATACACATACAAAGAAAGACTTCATTTCCAGCCAGACGCGATGCTATTTTGTTACTCTTTTCATGCTGCGCGCACTCAATTTCGACTTGTTGTCATACAATAAAGCTCCCAAAATATAAGAACTTTCAGTTGCATAATTTCAGACATTTGGCTCAAGTGTTCCAAGTGGCTAGATCGCGGGCTTCGGAAATGAATTCTCTGACTTCAACACAGAGACAAGGGCCCACATTACATCAAACAAAACAACACGTTGTCCTGCCCCCAGATCTGAAAAGAGGACAGTGATCCAACTTTTCAGACCTGAGTTCAAGAGGGGTAAACTCTACAAGTACTTAACTTTTAAAT